ATAAGGATAACTATTTTGTCATCTGGCCTCATAGTAAGGAAAGGTTAGATAGTTTCTTACTTTCACTCAATCAGCGTGAAGGGTACATTAGTTTCACAATGGAAATGCCTACGGATTTACGCAGTCTCGGTCAGAGCTTTCCCTTGGGTCATTAAGCTCTGCTGACCACAACCTGACATTAATCTTTTGAACACTGATTTTCGACCGTTATTGCGTATTGACTTACATACACGCACCCAGACAGACACTCGAACAAGAGTATCTAGACCAATATGAAAAATAATTAGCCTAACCATTCTATATCTATCTTGGTTTTTTAATTTTTTTTGCTTAATTTAGTCTATATAAGAGCTAAGATAGAGCCGGATAATCTTCTTGCCCCAATGTTAAATTGAGACTTATACAACAATGCGATCCATCTCTGATGATATCCATCAAATGGTGGACAAAAGCTCTGCCGGTTTTGAACCGAAACGAGAGAGGAGGTTTCGTGGACTGCGTCAACCTGAACGTCGTATAAAAGCTAAATGTTGCAATACAACGTGATTCAGCCATCTTCTTCTAATGAAATCGACCTACAAATATCTATCCATGCACTTTCATAAGAAATGAAATTCCCCCAACAAATCTAATTATTGACCAATTTGATTTATCGAGACGACGGATGAGCCAGTCTGAGAGGTATTAGGAATGTAATGTTTCTAAACTATTCTTTGTAGCTAGCCCCTACAGGCTAATTCATCTGAGTTCCTTACAAAGATCGTTATTATTTCAAGATTTCATCCGGTTAAAATTTAACGGCATTATTTTTTCATTAAAAAAAATCATTTTTTAACGTTAATGATAAAATACCTTTATACAGGACAATGAAGGGTGCAATTTCGAAAAATTCTAATAGACTAAAGGCTATGGATTTATGGCTTTTTGTGTGCATAACCTAATCAACTATATGAGTGAAGTAGATTGACTTTGGTCATATTGGTAGGAAGACTTAGAGGAATACACCTAGTCCGGAGTCCATTGTATGCATTATAATTTCCAAAGTCGAACCGTGGACATGGTACATTCCCAGACGTTTCGCAGGCTTCGTCAATGAGTCTTGCCATTCTTAGCACCACACTACAACTCGTCAAAGAGACAAGTGAAGTCGATCTTTTGACTAATGTCTGCTAAACAGTTGTGGTATCTATTATTCTATCCTGACCTATTCACCTACCCTATATCCTCGTATCACGCCTTCACTATTACAATTTTTTACTTGCTTATTTAAATGTGGTATTGTGTGTCCTTTTGAGCGGCTTTCATGAGAAACCTCCACACTCCACGCTGGCTTTCGCATCCCCCTTCATCCTTCTGCTTGGAATGTTGATTAGAGTCTGCCATATTGTTACGCAGTTCCCCTTCTCTAGGTTTTATCAGTCTCTCTTCCTTCGTAAGATCTGTTTCCTCTCTCCCTGGGTCAAGTATTCCGCTCAACCCTATCTGGGCTACTCGAGGCGTTATTTCCCACACTCTGCCTCTGGGAGACTAACTTGAGACTAAAGACCCTGAGTAATTCTCATGGTCAAGCCTTTGCTTCATGGACTAATTCTATAATCAAACACGTCTACTGTTAGCCAGCTAGCTCTAGTCTCCACAGCGTTTATCCTGTTTCTATCCCTAGCACCAAGTCTATGACTTCCTATGCCCTAGTCTCTTGTGTGCCAACCCGCAAATGTTGTGGTCCAATATTGAATCTAATCAAAGCAAGAAGTACCACAAAATTCGTGGGTGAGAAAGCCAGTATGGAGTGTGAAAATTCTCATGAATGTCAATCAAATGGGCAAATCATGCAACATTTAAATAAGCAAGTAAAAATTGTGATAGTGAAGGCGAGATACGAGGATATAGGATAGGTGAATAGCCCATGACAGAATAAAAGATACCACAACTGTTTAGCACATATTTGGTCAAAGGATCGACTTCACTTGTCTCTTTGAAGAGTTGTAGTGTGATGCTAAAAATGGCAAGACTGGCTGACGATGCCGGCGAAAAGGCCGGGAATGTACCACGTCCACAATCCAACTGGAAATTATCATGAATACAATGGACTCCGGACTAGGTTCGTTCCTACCAAAATGACCAAGTTGCGAAAACAAGATCAAACTACTTCTATACAACGAAAGCAGACTGCGACCACATAAGAGACCACACAATCTTGTTTTTCATACCTTCGATTATATGAGTTAATTTTTTATTTCTTTTAATCGTCTATTTGCGCATTGACTTTTATCTTTCTTGATAAAAAATAATTACCTTATTCATCCCCTGGCTCGATCAGCCGTATTTGGAGGATTCTGCGCGACTCCTGTTTTCTGTTGCTATTATGATCTGGGCCCTTGGTTGCACCAAGGTTTGGAGGCGTCAGCGGGCTGTCTGGGCCAGCCGATGGGTAGCTGGCTCCTTGCTCGATGACCCATTGCCCTGGCTTTTAGCCACTCAAGCTTTCGAGGAACGACCTGAGTTTCGAGGTGAACTTCGTCTCAGCCCGATCACTGGTCTTCCCGAGCGTCATTACCCGGCCCATCGACGTCGCTGGCTCTATGCTTTGACAGGCAGTCTGACTCTGGCTTGCCTTTTGATGGCGATAGTCGTTAATCTCTGTCTGCTCAATGTGGAGGCAAGTTGACTATCGGATGGTAAATAGAGTCCGAGTTTTTCTACAAATATAAAAAAATGATTGACCTTGTTTTCGTAACTTAGTCATATTGGCAGGAAGACCTAGAGGAACGCACCTTGTCCGCAATCCATAGTATGCATTCTAATTTCCAGAGTAGGACTGTCGACTTGGTACATTCACAGACGTTTCGTCGGCATCGTAGTCGGCATCGCCTTTGAGTCGTGCCAGACTTAGCACCACACTACAACCCGTCAAAGAGACAGGTGAAGTTAATCTTTTGATTAATTGTCTGCTAAACATTTGTGGTACCCCTTATTCTGTCCTGGCCTATTCACCCATCCTATATCCTCATATCACCACCTCAATATCACAATTTATTACTTCCTTATCTAAACCTATATGAAGCCTATTCACACTACAAGCTGGTTGCCACACCCCCCACTGTGCTGGAAGTGTTGATCCAAATCTGAGGTTTAATCCGCAATCCTCTCCTTTCGGGTCTTATCAAAGTCCTCTTCATGGTCCGTACGATCCTTCCCTTTTCTAGATGTATCAGGGATTCCACTCTATCGCTGCTTCCGCATCCGTGCTATCCAAGTGCTCTACACTGCCTCAAACTTTTGGTAGCTGGTATAAACCAGCCTCGCTGAGCAAGCCCTTAAAGTCTTGATTTTCAATTGACATGACAACCTAACTTGAATCTGCGGGTTGCCTTATCACTGTACGGCATGTGCAACGAGTAAATCTTGTTTTCAAGTCTTTACTTCATGGACCACCTCTATGATCAAACTTAGATACTAATAGCTAAGTTTCGATTGTCTTCGCCACATCTCATCCACACTACAATTTGTGAAAGAGACAATAAAGTCGATCCTTTGACTAATTGTCTGCTAAGCACTTGTGGTATCTCTTATTCTGTCCTGACCTATTCATCTATCCTATATCCTCGTATCACCACCTCAGATTCTAAGACTGGCACGGCTCACTGACGATGCCGGTGAAACGTCTGGGAATGTACCAAGTCTACGGCCCGAATTTGGAAGTTATAATGCCTACTATTGACTCCGGACAAGGTGCGTTTCTCTAGGTCTTCTTGCCGATATGACCAAATTATGTAAACAAGCTCAAACAACTTCTATACAGCAAAGGCAGACCGCGGCCAAAGAAAAGCCCACATCATTTTGGTCTTCATACCTTCGCTAAAATATAATTATTGAAGGTATGAAGACCAAGATGGTGTGGCCTTTTGTGTGCTCGCAGTCTCCTTTCGTTGTATATAAGTTGTTTGACCTTGTTTTTGTTTGTCTCGCTACGAATGGCGAGACTCACTGACGATGTCGACTACGATGCCGGCGAAACGTGTGAGAATGTACCACGTCCACCGTCCTACTCTGGAAATGATGATGCATACAATGGACTCCGGACTAGGTGCGTTCCTCTAAGTCTTCTTACCAATATGACTGAGTTGCGAAAACAAGGTCAAACAACTTTTATAATTATTGAAGTTGCTTTAAGTGATTTCATCTCGTTTTCGCAACTATTATGTTATCAGGGTGGCATAGCTCGCATCGCTTATTTGCAGACCTCAGCTATAGTAAGGTTAATTCCTAGCATGGAACTGTGAATCTGCTACATTCCAAGATTTTTTTGGCTTCGTCAGTGGTTCTTGTCAGTCTTAGAACCGAACTACAACTCTTCAAAGAGACAAGTCGAATCACTGCCTTAACAAACCTTTTGCCGAAAGGTTGTGGTATCACTCCTGTCCTATTGCATATACCTACTTCCTATCCTCGTATCTTACTCCCTCCCCATCACAAATTATGACTTGTTTATGTTTTACTCCTTTAAAGGTGTACCCTTTCTGGCGAGTTTAGTTTACCTTATTCGCCTTGTTTACCTTGACCTCTTCTCTGGATTTGTCGGAATTTCTGATCTGTCTTAGACCTTATGTTCAAATCTCTCTCATAGCCCCGGAGATTCCTTTCTCATATTTCCTGCTTGACTGATTTCACTCGGTTCCAATGAGATTCATTTCATTCAAGGAGCTTTTTCTCATGGTATGTCATAATTCTTTGGTAGCACGTATAATGTAGCCTCAACGAGCAGAACGTCTAGGCTCCGATTTCCATGCTTGCAGATATCAGGCATTGCCTCGACGGCTCATATTCCTTATTCAGCCCGTGTACCCTGAGCAAACTGTGGACGTCTATCTTTGGTCACCCGCTGCGCCCCAAGTGGAATTCTAGTCAATTTAACCATAATGCCGAATTTCTGTGACTGTTGCCATTATCAGTCTCTCTACTTCTGTGACCGCCAGGCCCCTAGAATTTGAATTTGTTTCTTCGAGCAGATCACTCACTGAAAACTCCTCTTCCTGATTTCCAAAGGTTTATTATCAGCTTCTTCCTTGCGATCTCTTTTCCTCTGCTTATCGATAGGACCTTGGCCCAGGGGTCTCCATTTTACCGATCTCCCATTTTGTTTATGCAACGGGCAAAGTTATCGCTAAATCGGCCTTCCAATTTCCCGTTCATTAAATTTCTTTCTGCTAGGATGTGAATGGCCTCCGTATTTTCCTGTTTCCTTGTTTTTACTATATGAGGCTCCTCTTTCTATTGTCTTCCGTTTGAGCTCGTGTCCAGTCTGTGCAATGTTTTCCTCTATTTCTGATCGTTCAGTATTCATTCTAGTGCAGAGCCTTTGATGTCTATTGATTGTTTTGTTGATTTTTCTTCCTAGTTCGCGAATACAATTCTGTCTGCAGACATCGCATGTTATGCAGTACCCTCCCTAGCGATCCAATTTATCTATCATCCAATGTTGCATGAGTAAACTTGTGAACAGTGTAGTTTATTCCTTCGTGGTCAGATGAATATTCAATTATCTTAATATTGGTCGTAGTTCTTAAGTTATTTTCCTTTTATTATTCCTGTCCAGCCACTGGGTTTTCGCGGCTCGTCTGTTTATTTCTATTACGTTTCTCGACTTTGTTTTTCCGAGGAATATCAGAATCACTTTTTCCTATTTTTCATTCCAGAATTTCACGTCCATGAATCATAGGCTTCTGATAAGCATGCTTTTCACTATTCCGAACTTCATTATGTAGTTATGATTTGACTATAAATGGAGCATTGTTTCCAGTTGGCTCATACTGTCAACACCTCTTCTTTAAGGCTTATGTTTTAATATCTTGCTTGCAACATTTCGATTTTTTGTATTTAAATAATTCGTTATGGAATGCTTATGTTATACCTTTATTATTTTTTCCCCATAGAAGCAAGAACCTCGTTGAAAAAGCATACATTTCAAATACCAAGCCGCCATTAATATTTATTGTGATTTTTCTTGAATATAGATATTAGGCAAATTTTTGGACTAAATTCTACATCCACTCTATAAATATTATTGCTCCCTGCTAAATAAATTTATTTAATGTCGCGGGATTTTTTAAAGTTTTCTTTTTTTTACAATAAAACAACCCCCTGTCAGGGCTACATCAGCTACGGCCCCTTACGCCTCGAGATGCTCGCATGGTGCTCCTCGCCTGATGGTCCCTTCTATCCTCACCATTCAGGCTTTTGGCCATACGTACCTGGCATACTTCATTCAATTTGTATCTTCATAATGAATCAGATACTATTTCGTCGTATTGCCGAGATACTTACTGAATACGAGAATCACAAGGTGAGAATTTCTTGGTTTGGACAAGACTGTTCTTTGGACATAGACGTAGGGCTAAACCAGAGTAACTCATTCCTATGCATGCCTTGTTATTTTAGCCAGACTAAACATCAAGTTTGAGAAAATAAGAAATCGACGAGATGGCAATTTAATGAAAACTTTTCGTGGATCATCAAATGGCTAAAGGTCTTTCAAATTTCCCACTAAAAATCAAGGGGGATCTTGTTGATGCTTCAGAATTTGGTTGATATTAGAATTAAGGAAAGCATGGACAAATTACATTCGTTAAATGTAAGTTAGACCAAGCCGAGGCAAATCTTGTCTAAGGATCTCATTTAGTTGGATTTCTTCAGGTTAGAAACAATGGCTGATAAGGTGTATAGCAAATTTATTCGTAGGTGGAAGGTAAACATTATAAGAAACTAAAGAATATGTGTACAAGCATTAGTTTAAGGGTAAAAGGTGACATTTTAGGAAATTAAAGGAAAGGATAGATTATTAGATAACGCTGTAAATCTTTTGAGACATTTGACGCTTTTGTTGCAGAGGTCGTATGAACGCAGACAATTGAGAGACGCCCTTCGGGATGCATTAAAAGCAACTGACCATTTGCCAATTATCTCTTGGCTTACCTTATTCCATGCATATTGAAAGCCGACTATTCTTTATTTAATTTTTTTCAATCACTATGACATTTAAGGTGGTCTCCCTGTCTTCTTTATGCTAACTTGAACAGTAGTCTTCACTTATATATTTCTAAATAGCAAACATATATCGTTCAATCGGCGAATTTGGCTCGTAAACTATACACTCGTTAATATTTTCACTTGAAATCTTTAACTGGTTTTTCTAGTTTGCTTAATCACTGGCTTAAAAAAATAATAAAAATGTAATGTAGTGTTGGTTTAATCTCGTTTTCGCAACTTGGTCGGACAAACAGGGAGATCTTGCATAACGTACCTACTGCGTCCTCTCCAATATTAGTCATGAATTTCAGTATAGGACTATTGACTTGGTATATTCCCAGACGTGTCGTCGGTATCGTCAAGGAGAGGCGACACCGTTCGCACAGAGTTGCAACTTATCGAAGTGACAATAGAAGACAATCCTTTTAACCAATTTTCTGTCCAATCTTTGTGGAATCGCTCTTCTTCCCCATTTTTTGTCCTACCTCCTAGTGCTGCATCTATTTCTCTCAACCCCACTTCATATAACCTATTTACCTATTTATATCATTCTATGTCCTCATTTCCTCCAGTGTCACTTCAAGTGGATCTAGTGAAGCATAATCACCTTCACCGCTGGTTCGTTGGCTTTTGGGCCGTGGCTTCTGACTTTTAATTAGACCCTCTCAACTCCGCTTGTCAGCTGTTCCTTGTTATACATGAAAATCACTGTCGACTGCATATGAGCCTTTAATTACTCTCCCCGTTTACGTCCTATTAGAGGATTTAAAATCGATGATTCTCATTCCTAGGCATCTTCCTATCCGTTATACTTCAGACCCATCACTCAGTTATCCTCATTCTCGTTCCCTCTCAAGCTATGGAGCTTGATCTGACTTCCGAATCTGTGTCTGGCTTGATTCGGAACCGCTGATGGAAAGATGAACCACTTCCATTTACATTCCTGAATCGCGCATAATGCACTCCGCTTTTCCCTGAGGTTGACAGTCCCACTTAATCATAAGGTTCTAGAAAGTTGTGCATTTGTACTTTCTTCGTTACCCCCTACTCAGGCATATCACCAGTCGCCTCTCATTAAGACACGCACACACTAAAAATGCACGCAGGCACATCTTCGCAATCACACTGATGTTGTGCTCCACCGCTGTGTTTCCACGCCCTGATCAATTTGCAATGGATTAAGTTCTTTTTGCTTTGCATCTCTAATGGTGTAAACTGTACTTTTCTGGACTTTCGTTCCTTGACCCACATTCCATAGGCGGGCCCACACCTGAAACCTCAGGCCGATTCCAGATTTGACTGCTCTTATAGCAATCCATTTTTTTTACTTCCCTTTGTCTCTCATGATCCTCATCTTGGCTATGTATCTTTCTATCGTTAAATAAATGTCCAATAATCTTCTTTTAGCTTTATTGGCTGACTTTCCTCTTCCAATCTTCTGCTTATCAGGTTTTCTTGTAAGAGGATGCCCACGGCCTTCCTGATTTTCCTTGTTTTGGTGTTCTACCAATATGAGCCGGTTAGTTGTGAGACCGGTAAGGGCAATGCGTTTAGCTATCTCCGATCTTTGCTTATACATTTGTCTGCATAGTCATTGATACTCTTGATCCCTGTTTTAATTGTCATCCCATTCTCTCCAACGTACTTTTGTTTACAGTCCTTGCAGTTTATACTGTAAACTTGGGAGCACTTCATTATGTTGACTTCTTCATCTTGTGTGGGTAAGCTGTTGAAGAGGGTTGTCCTATCCTTCAGGATTGTACGAATGTTACATTTCTATAGTATCGGTGGCAGCTTCCGAGCCAATTCGCAGGAAGGTATACATATCCATCGTTTTTCCTCTGTTTTCTTTGCTTTCCTTTAATAATCTCCGTCCTTCCAACTGTTCATTACTATCAAAGTTTTACGTTGTATCTTTGCTTTTGGATGTCCCTTTTCAAGGAATTTATGAGTTAGTTTTTTCACTTACTTTTCCCAGAAGTCAGAATCAGTGAGTCGTAGGTTTCTTACCACCATAGTCCTGAGTATCCCAATCTTTTCTTTCCGTACTTATGGTGAGACTTGGAGTTAAGGCTTAATCCTGCATTTAATTTCTTTTAAAACAGCTGTTTCCTGAGAGTTTCTAAGCGATTAGCCCTCATATTCATTAAAGGCGAGTATCCGTTCTCTTTCGCATCCATCGTTAATTTGACATTTATTTCCATGCCGTTTAAGAACATCATGAAATCAGGGAATAGAATGGTATGATTTTGTAAACTGGCGATATTAAGTGAGGTTGAGAGAAAGAGATGCAGCACTAGAAGGTAGGACAAATAATAGGGGTAAAGAGTGATTCTATAACGATTGAACAGAAAATTGGTTAAGGGGATCTCCCTTTGTCATTGATTAGTTGTAGCTCTGTGCTAAAGTTGGCGTTTCTCACTGACGATTCCAACTAATATGCCAGCCAAGCGTCTGGTATTGTACCAAGTCAACGGTCTGATGATGGAAATCATGAATACTATTGCAGAGAACACAAGACTAGGTACATTCCACCTGGTCTCTCTATTGCCCCAACCAAGTTGCGAAAACAAGGTCAAACCAACATTATACAGCTAAGGAAGACTGAGACCAAACAAAAGACCACATTCTCTTGGTCTTCGTATCTACGATAAAATTGTATATAATTAATAAAACTAATATATAAAAATAAAAAATACAGTAAATAATTTATAAGTAATAGATTTAAATTTTAAAAATTCATGTGGAATTTAATAGGATTCATTAGAGCATATTATTAATGATAGATATCACCGATTCTGACAAGATTTTATTTGGAATTGGTGTGTCGTTTTACACTTAAGGTATTCTATCACGAGATCCTCTATCCTTGCGACATTAACCTATCTTTAAAAGAATGCAGTTATTCCCTTTATCACAGTTTAGTTATGTTCCCTTTCTCATGGATTTCAGCGTTCATCTGGCTCCTTCGAGCTGTATCTAAAGTCATTTCTTGTTTCAGAGTCGTAAGGTGATCTAGTAGAAGCACATGTTCTTATTTTATCGTAAAAACGTGAACATGACACAAAATGCAACTAACACTTAAATCCCTTGTCTAATTGCTTCATTTGTCTCACTGATAATTACCTATTCGGGAATTTATCTCTATATATAGTATAACTTTGAAACAATCTCATATATTGCCGCATGTATGCTGTTTATTCTTATACCATTATATGCATTCACTTTAAAATATGTCTGAGTAAAAGTATTCCCCCCCCCTATTTTTCTGCCGCTTCCTCATTATCACTCTTTGAAGACTCAATATGAGCATGACCAATCACTTATCTTTAAGCGCTTTCTCTTCGAAGCAGTAGACGCCTACGGCTGCCTGGCTTATCTTGCCTTTTGGGAGGGCAACTGGCTTGCCCTACAATCTCTACTACTCAGTATGTTTACCACGGACGCTGTGCGTCGCGTGACTCTTGAGTGCCTGTTACCTTGGATCATATATCGACTGCGTGTGTTCTTCGCAGCCCTTCGATTAGCTCGCAGGAAAAAAACAGATGAGGCAGACGACAACAGTGACGAAATTACTGAAAGAACTTCGTCTTGGAAACCAGGCTGCTTTAGAGGGTTGAAATTCGGGTCAGTGGGTAGTTCTTTCTTATGCTATATTCCCTTCTCTTCATTTTTTTGTATGATGGGTAAATGTAGGGACATAAGTAAGTACACGATATAGGCAATTTTTAATCATTTAGCTCTGTGATGGAGGG